GTGTTATCTCGTCCCATCACACGTGTTTTGGCGGACTGGCGTCGGCCATGATGAGTATTGTCGCCAATGGAACGACTCCTCTAACAAAATGTTCACCTGTACCGTAGTATCGTTTTCGAAGCGGGAAGCTCAAAAAACCGCAAATTTCTTACGCAGATTGTGAAGTTATGAGTGCATTTCAGACTTTGCCGATGCGCTCATCGTGATTTTTGAGCCATTATCTGTAGGAAACAACTCTTAGTTTTGCTCTAGCAAAAGTTTGCAACAGGCCCATTGCAAAGATTACAATCTGGAATGGACCGAGGAATTTCGGGTTCGACAAGGAACAAACGGAATGAGAGAAGGAAGGGAGAAAGGAATTTAAGCATGAGCCGATCAAAGATTACGAAAAACGTTCAATTTGTGTAATCTTTATTCCCGTTTGTGACTCCATGAGGGGTGTTGTCTTGACTCTCAGTATAAAGGGACTCTAAGCAACCCCTACTCCTACACATCTGCCCGCGAAATACGAACAGACGACAGGCGCCTTGTTTACCCATATTTTAATTCTCTCCCTATTCTTTATGCAGCTTAGATCTCGCTCGAGCTCATTTTTTTATCGAGTTCCTCGGCGTGGACTTCTTTCCCCCGCCCCTCGTGCTTCCACGACCCGATGGCGTTGGAGATCTCGACGAAGGACCACAATCACCATTACCGCACTTAACCGAAGAGACCCATAGATTGCTCCTCAGGTCGACAACGACGACGGTGATGTTGTCCCCCGACCCGCGGAGGTAGGCGTAGTAAGCCAAACTCTTGGCGCGGAAATACGCCTCGCGGAGCCTGCTGGGAGTCAGGAAGGCGACGACGTCTTCGTTCGACAGGACGTCCCAGAGTCCGTCCGTGGCCAGGACGAGGAAGCGCGGCTTGTGGCGGCCCAGTTCAAACGTCAGGATATCGGGGTCCGCGATGATGACGCCGGGTCGTTTCTCGTCGGGGCCGTCACCCAAGGCCCGCGACAAAGCCAAGTGCCCGTTCACGCGCCACGCGCCGTGTACGTAAGGGACGTCGCCACCGTTGGCTATGATCCTTGCACGCTCGCTCGCCTGTGAAAAAGAAAATAACGGTCCACGCGGTGAGAAAAGAGCACTGGAAGAAAAACACATCGGATCTGGAGTCCAGACTCTTGAAAACATCGACAAGAAAAAGGACTCTTGATTCAATCAGATTTCGTCGCCTTCCAGGCATAGTATCACAAGCGCCATGCGACGTTTAAAAATTTCCGCCGCCATTTTATTTCTTTACTGAGAAATTGTTGGTTGGATCTGTTCGGAAATTTCACTAAATTTTATCGGCAGCACAAAGAAAATTCAGTGAAATTTTCGGACAGCTTCGTTGAACAATTTCTCTGTAAAAAAATAAAATGGCGGCGGAAATTTTTAAACGTCGCATGGCGCGTGTGATACTTTGCCTGGAAGGTGACGATTTGAGCTTAAATTGATGGGAAATCTGCTCAAATTAAGAGCATGAACGCCAACTTGTGAGAATCACCATGATGACTAATGGAACTTTATGGACCTAATAGACCTTTATGGACGGACTCGGATCCGAAGGTAGAATATGCATGAGCAGAGCTTGATTGAAGATACCCATACCATCATATGGATGGTAAATCTAAACTGAAAATGGGGAAATCGTTGGGAAAACTTGTTTTAAATTGTTGAAAAATTTTTACTTTGATTTAAAAGAAAATTTAATGGCTTACATTTTTCTGTTAAAATATTGTTTTACACTGGAAAAAAAACACATTGGATCCAGAGTCCAAACTCTTGAAAACATTGACAAGAGAAAGGACTCTTGATTCAATCAGATTTAAGCTTAAATCGATAGGAAATCCGCTCAAATTAAGAGGCTTGGTTCTTGATTTAAGCTTAAACCTGATTGAATCAAGAGTATTTTTTCTTGTCGATGTTTTTAAGAGTCTGGACTCTGGATCCAATGTGTTTTTTTTCCAGTGTTTGAATATTTGTACATTTGAATTTGACACTAGCTAATGTGACTTGGTTCATTTCTGGCTAACGCGGTCCAAATGTTTTCAGACAAATATTCAAACACTGGAAAAAAATACATTGGATCTAGAGTCCAGACTCTTAAAAACATCGACAAGAAAACATACTCTTGATTCAATCAGATTTGAGCTTAAATCAAGAACCAAGCCTCTTAATTTGAGCGGATTTCCTTTTAATTTAAGCTTAAATCTCATTGAATCAAGAGTCTTTTTTCTTGTCAATGTTTTCAAGAGTCTGGACTCTAGATCCAATGTGGTTTTTTTTCCAGTGAAAGAAAAGAGTCGTATTTTGTTCAACGCAACAACTCGGACCTCTCGTAGCAATCGTATTTTGTTCGGATGTTCTCTCTGTTAAGGGGCGTGGTCTATTTTTATTCGTGTATTTTTTTGCACAATTTGGCAACGTTTCGCAACTTTGTTTCGAAACAATTGAAACATCCTCGGAGCTTGTTGTGTGCATTTGTTAACAGGATTTCTAACCTCACTTCTAGTTGCTTTCCCCTCATGGGTTGGTAAAAAGTGATGCAAATAACGCGAAGTCGGTAACAGGAAACAATTGTTGCGTCGAAAAAAATACGTCTAAGGTATGCCGTTCTGCCGTGATAGTGAAGAGAGCAGTACGTGGAAAAATGAAGTTTCGAGGAAACGGGCTCAGAAACTTCTGACCAGAAAACTCTATTGAAAGAAGTCTCAGCTCTTGGTCAAATTGCCAATAATCATGCGGAAGACTCCTAGAAAATCGTTTGGATTTTTAAAAATCGACCGATTTCATATTAATTACAATTACGGCAATGTTAGTTTCTGCAAGACTACGTGAATACTGCACGCATTGCGCATACTCCACGATGCGCCATGTTAGTGCCTGCAAGACTGCATGGATACTACACGCACTCCACGTACACCACTGCGCTGCCGTGATAGCGAAGAGAGCAGTAAGTGGAAAATGAAGTTCTGAAAAAACGGGCTCAGAAGCTATCACGGCAGCTCAGTGGCGTACGTGGAGTGCGTGTAGTATCCATGCAGTCTTGCAGGCACTAACATGGCGCACCGTGGATTATGCGCAATTCACGTAGTCTTGCAGGAAGTAACATTGCCGTAATTGTAATTGATATGAAATCGGTCGATTTTTAAACATCCAAACGATTATCTAGGAGTCTTTCGCATGATTATTGGCAATTTGACAAAAAACTGAGACTTCTTTCAATAGAATTTTCCGGTCAGAAGCTTCTGAGCCCGTTTCCTCAAAACTTCAGTTTTGCACTTACTGCTCTCTTCGCTATCACGGCAGCGCAGTGGCGCACGTGGAGTGCGTGTAGTATCCATGCAGTCTTGCAGGTACTAACATGGCGCACCGTGGAGTATGCGCAATGCGTGAAGTATTCACGTAGTCTTGCAGAAACTAACATTGCCGTAATTGTAATTAATATTAAATCGGTCGATTTTAAGTCATTATTACCGAAGCCTTTAGTATACGCACCAGATTAGGTTTGTGATCAAACGATAGAGGCACAGTCCTTCCCTCGAAGTCGCACATGACACCTCTGGAATCGCCGACATTAGCCACGAACAGCCTCGAGCCTACGATCAGTGCGACCAGTGCCGTTGAGCCTACGGCAGGATGTAAATCAATATATTAAATTTAATGACGGTCAACCTACTCTACGAATCAGTAATATCTTACGGGTGTTTTCAAAATAGTTGGAGTTGTGGAAATATACTTTAAAAGTTGAGGGCAACACGCAAAAAAAAAGTTTTAGGGGTTATCCTCTAAAACTGTGGTACTACCACAATTTGTTAGATGATACGGACATCTCTTATTAATTGTGGAAGAACCGCAACATTTGGGTTAGTAACCTAATTTATTGGGGCGCGACCACGATTAATTCGTGTACTACCGCAACTAATTCGTGTACTACCACAATTAACTGGAGATGTCCATATCACACAACAAACTCGTGCTTTTTTTTTTATCCGTGAACTTGAATGGACCTTTGGTCTGCCGACATTTAGAGACGGGCCCATGTCCGTGATGAAGGTTAAATATGATAAATGAGTACTTGATTTTTGACACAGTACTACTGTAGGGTAAGGATAGATAGATAGATAGACAGATAGATAGACAGATAGATAGATAGATAGATAGATAGATAGATAGATAGATAGATAGATAGATAGATAGATAGATAGATAGATAGATAGATAGATAGATAGACAGACAGGTAGATAGATAGATAGACAGACAGGTAGATAGATAGATAGATAGATAGATAGAATTTATTGATGCATACAGCCTATAGTGAAAAGCTCTGGCACAAGTCAAATTTACAATTTATACGTCAATTTAAGCAAAATGAAATTATACAGGCTCTTCGAAAAATTCTCTTAGACTATAATAGACTTTACTTTTTTGAGTTTAATTTTCAATTGGTTATGGAATATTTTAATGATAAATCAAGCATGTGGTAGAATCCACCACACCTTTATTACGGAATGCTGTTAGAGTCTCAGTATTTGCTACCTTGTGAGTCGGGATCCTTCTTCCCGTATGTGTCTCTACACGATGTATGCTGTTTAAACGACTTTGTTTTTCTTAAAAAGGCATGCAGAGTATTGAGTTCAAACCATCGTTCAAATTTACAGTTAGTGGTTGTTTTTAATCACCATTTCAGGCAGATCTAATGGAGAATTCGCATGCAAATTTTTATTGCTTCATCTAAAAGTGCTTAAAAATCTGATTTCACAGTATTTTGATACTTTTTTCTCATATGGGAAATAGTATAAAAATAGATTTAAAAGTGAGAAAATGCACCGCCTAGTGACGTCTTCTGGCGGCATTTCCCATTTAAACACACGTTTTTTAGCAGATTAGATCATTTTGTCACATCTTCTCCTATACTTCTTTAATTCATTAACTAAGAGTATCCTTGTGTCCAGGTTACTCAGCAGTTTCCACTTAGACACAAAATTCATCAAATTTCAGACATCTGCAAATGGACCACTGGACAAGGTACGAATTTCAGCATTCGGATGCGTGTTTCTTAACCAAAATTTCACTCAATTTCAATGCGTACAACGAAAATTACCGAAATCAACACCTTACGAAGATATTTAATGATTCTTGATGTGTGAATTCAAACCATCCGCCCATGAAAACTCAATGCTCTACGTGATTCACATCGCGTGCTAAACGTTATCATGACAGTCTCTGCGATATAAAAATCTGGCAACCTCGATCTTGACGCTTTGGCTCAGCCATAGCAAATTGCTTATAGTTAGAATGACACATGGTGGGAAATGAACATTGCTCGATTGAGAAGCTTGCTGAAACCGTTGTAGTGCGCGACTTGACTCACGTAGAGCTTTGAGTTTCTTGTGAGTGGGCAGTTCAAATTCCTCGTAACCAATGTGTAATAGAAACGTTAATATCTCCGTTACGAGTCGGTTTCAGTAATTTTCGTTGTGTGAATCGTATTGTACGTTAAATTCTGGTTAAGAAACATGTATCAGATTGCTTAAAATTCGTACCTTGTCTAGTGGTCCACTCTCTATTGATCGGTAGGCATCCAATGGGTAGTTTCATCTTTACGGTAGTTCCGCTGATGATAGGAAGAATGCGTCCTAAATGAAAACGCTTACAATGAGTGGAATAAGTTAATTACCCACCAGATTTAAACCCAGACCACCTTTCAGGTTCCTGGTCAATTTGGGCGGTCATGAGGTCTTTGTCAGTGGAGAGTATAGCGTCATTTAAAATCTTTCCGTAATCAGGCTCGGATTCGTCAATGATGGGTATTTCTATTTAGAGAATTTACCAGTCAGTATATTAAAATCATGGATGGCACAAGGAGCGCACACAGAGATAAACTTCAACCCAAAAGTTTGGTTAATACGGGAAGTAAAAGACAAAATGCACGTATTTCTACCAAACAGACCTATGAGGTGAGAAATATGGGGTGTGCTCGTTAGTTCTCTTTGCGTAAGGGTGAATGAGAATAATAAAGCGCCAGTGACGTCAGCGGCAACGGACGATACGCGTTACGACGACGAGCTCGTCGACGTTGCGCTTTAACTCATGAGCCCTGTCCACAACTCTCTCTTGCCATGCCCGCGGCTCATGACTCCCGCATTCAGTTGGCACATAGGTTTGTTTGATAGAATGTAAAACCCGCTTTTCCAATTCTTCAAAAGGAATCGCGCCCACTCTTACATTGTCTCTTATGCAGCTCTCTAGAGCACACCCCATATTTCTCACCTGCACATAGGTCAGCTGTTTGGTACAAATACGCCCGAATAGCCCTATCCTTTGGTTGAAGATTTCAAAAGAAAATGCCAGCTAGTTTTCTTGAGGATATTTAATAATGAATGAGAGGTGAATACTAATTTCGTAATCGGAAGACCGTATTTTTCCAGTCTCTCCATTGTTTTCTGAGCTGAATTCACCGCGAACTGTACCAAAAGCAACACAAAATTCGTGTTGGTTTGTGTTTCAATTCCTTCACTAACCAAAAGTAACAGAACACAAATGGACTGCATTTTACAATTTGGAACTATAAATTCTGGCCCTGTCTAAAAACAGCATATGTGCCATTAGATTCCCTATGCACATAAGCGTTTTTTTTAGATGAGCCAGAATTTATAGTTCCAAATCGGAAAAAAGCAGTCCGAATATTCTCAGTGCAGTGGTGATTCCAGCTAGGCGGCAACACTGTTAATACTCAATCTAAATCTATTGATATGTATATAGATTTCAGGCGAAACAGGCTGCCTCACCTAGAATCGATTGCTTGACATACATTTAAATGGAGTAAAAACAGTGTTGCCGCAACTTGCAAGAATCTCCACTGTAGAAGGAGGCTGGAGGGAGGGAACTATCTCTGACATTTAGCTGACGGAGGGTATGGATTCGATCGACATGAATCGATCGAAAAACTAAAACGTGAATCGATCGACACCGATTCGATCGACAGTTAATTTAAAAACACCCGTGTCGATTCGATCGACATGAATCGATCGATTCACGGGTTTATCGATCGATTCACGTTTTTATTTTTCGTTCCACTCATGTCGATCAAATCGACAGGGGTGTTGTTAAATTAACTGTCGATTGAATCGGTGTCGATTGATTCATGTCGATCGATTCACGTTGTCATTTTTCGATCGATTCATGTCGATCGAATCGACGCCGGTTTTTTAATAATTTGTCGATCGAATCGGTGTCGATTTATTTACGTTTTCATTTTTCGATCGATTTACGTCGATCGGGTCCATACCCTCTTAGCTGACTCCTCTAAAAAATCATCGTTTGTCGGACGAATGCGCGTAACTTCATTCAGAGGTCACAACATTAATTGACTTAAATGATGAAATTGTATACAGAATCATGACTGAGTTGTTTCTGTCCCACAATTTGGTGACTTTAGCTTGTAATCTGAGGAAAGTTCATGGAAGTTTCTGTTAAAAACGTCCAACAGTCACGCAATTAAGAGACGATTTGTGAGAGTGGAAATTTTGAATCGGTGAAATGAAGTTACGCTCTTTCGTCTGAGAAACGGCAAAATGATGTGAGGGGTTTTGATGAATACGTTCGTGGCAAGTTTTTCTTTTCTGAAATTAAAGCATTTTGTTCAAGAAGGGCGTCTTAGCCATGCGACGCTGTTAAGATTGTGCGACGTAGTTGGAATCTTGTCTCAATTTCAACGACCACTCTTAGGTATTTTTCCTTCTCCATTGTTCTTTGAATTTTTTGTCGATTTTCTTGAAAATTATATCGAATGTACGAGTGAAAGTGAAAGATAAAAATGCATTCTTAGTTTCACAATCCAAGCAGCGTGGCATGGCATTGACACTCTTCTTGTATATAATGCCTTGATTATACTTCAAAAAAATTTTCAGCAAGAAGAGCTGAAACGTGCCCCTCAGCCGATGCAATGTCTCAGACTTTTTATTTTTGTTTTACTGATTTATTTTGCTTTTTTCCCCATTTTGAAGATAACAGCCACCTGAAAACCATTACAATCTCACATGGTCATGATAGGCAATAGCTTGCGAGATTGTTTCCTTGTTTGGGTAGGTATGCTTTTCTTACATGGACGCAGGCCCGCCACAAGGGGGGGGATACTGGGTCCCTGGTACCGGGGCCCGGGCCCTGGAGGGNGATACTGGGTCCCTGGTACCGGGTCCTGGAGGGGCCCGTGACGCAGGTGACAAACCACTACGAATTTATGTGTAACCCTTGTCTCGTAGGGAAAAGTGAAAAAATTACCCTAAAAATTCCGCAAAAGGTGAATAAAGTTTCAAAAACACGCTAGGGCACTATAAAATTTTTCTTACTTTTTTAGAGATTTTCAAGATTTTGAGTATATGTGGAATGATATTTTTAGTAACTGTGTTTCATTTTCTTCCGTTGTCGGATGCTAAGAGGCTCCTTTCTGGGCATCCTCGACTTCAATGGCTTTAACTCCCTTGCCATAGACGTACGAAAGGGGAGTCCAGGGGGGCCCGGCTCCCCATAGAATTGAAAATTATCATCTGCCCCCTCTAAAAAAAATTTATAGATGGTTTGAATGCAACAATTCGAAAGTTTTTGGTGCTGAAAGTAAACAAAAAGGCGTAATTATTCTGCAGAAATTGATGGAAAATCTCCATCATAAGAGCTTCATTATGCGTCCAAATAGATTTAAAATTTCAAAAATTTCCCGGGGGAGGACCCCCGGACCCCCCTTCCCCCTGTGATAGGGGCCCGAGATGGGATGTGGCGGGCCTGCATGGACGTGTACTGACTTTTCTTACATGGACGTACTTGAATCAAACGGAATTATACTCATTCTGACAAGAGCCCTAAGATCCATAAAAATGCACCCATGACAGGGTTCATGTCACAAATGGACATAACCACTTTTGATTAAAATGCGCCCACAGGTTGTCAGCGACCAAGAAATAAATGCAGTGGGTACGCGCCAATTTTAAAAGTGCATAAAGTGGACCACGCACATCGAGGACCTCGAGTTGCATTCTGGACATTTCTAATGTACTCAAAGCGAATGGGTAATGACTGTGAAAAAAAACTTTTTTCTTTTTAAAAAAACAAGTCTGAAAAATAATTTCGAAATTCACGCGAAGAAAGTAGACACGTGAAAAGCCGAAACAAAATGTAATGGAAACTTAGATCAAAGTGCCCCCCCCCCAGCCGCAAAAGCTGTGGCATACACTGGAAAAAAACCACATTGAATCTAGAGTTCAGACTCTTGAAAACATTGACAAGAAATTCAATCGGATTTTTGCTTGAATCAAAACGAAATCCGCTTAAATTAAGAGGCTTGGTTCTTGATTTAAGCTAGATTCTGATTGAATCAAGAGTACTTTTTCCTGTCGATGTTTTTAAGAGTCTGGACTCTAGATCCAATGTGGTTTTTTTCCAGTGTAAGGCACTACACTGTCTTTATTTGTCTTCAAACACTTAACATGTGCAAAAAAAAGTGACAAAAATGTTTTATAAAACTTATTTTTGGTAGTTTTGTAAGACTTCTCAACGTGAATTTTCCGAGATGAGCATTTTACGTCAAGAAAATCGAGTTAGAAAGGTTTCCCCCTATATAACGTCACGATTTTTCTGATGCAAAGTCTACTCGGTCAACTGTACCTCTATATGCAACATGACTATTTGGACTGCTGATTCTGACTCATTCCAGGAGCAACGTATGTCATTCGTTTCCCTATGCAAATAGGTACTATTGTGGATGAGTCAGAAATATTGGTTCCTTCGTGTAAAATGAAGTCCACATATAGGTCTCTCTTCGTCTTTTTTATATACTCTTGTGAAAGAAACTTCATACGAAGTTCATGGTGTGTGTAAGGAAACGCTCCAAGCCCCTGGTTCTCATGAATGTGTTATCTTACTCACGTGACCGATAGCCGTTGAAAAAAGAGGAAACTCTGGTTGTTTTTTCAGCTGTCCAATTTGATGACCACTCTTCAATTTTCGTCTCTAAATTGTTCAATAAATGGTCTCGTGCATAATTCGCGGCAAACTGTAGAATCATAAAGCACTTTCTTAGAAGTAAGACAATGCTTGAGAAATTACTTTTGGGACAGAAGGAAATGGGTAAACCATTGGATCCTTGTTGTCTGTTATTTCTCTACATTAATGTTCATTTTTTTTTTCGAATCACGCCTGAGATGTTGCTATTGCTTTGCATTTATCATGAAATGTATTTCATAACAATGGGCTTGCTGCAATTTTTAGCTAGAGCCAAGAGAAGAGTCGTTTCTTCGAGAAAATGACCCAAAAATCGCGACGAGTGCATCGGAAAATTCTGAAGTATACCCCTGACTTCACGATCTGCGTAGGAAATATGCGTTTTTTTAGCTTTCTGCTTCAAAAATAATACAACGGTACAGGTGAACATTCTGAGGATGAGTCGTTCCAAAAAACCCTTGCGTCCTAGGATGCTTTGCCACAACATTCAACACGGCTGACGCTTTGGCACGCAACTCGTGAGGAAACACCATGGTCTTCATCAATGCGAGAAAATATAAAGATGCCGGTTGATGAAATGGACGCATTTCTGTCAAACGGAACTATGTGCCTTATGACGTGAGCCCCATAGCTTGAACACTTTTAGTCCTCGCGGTCAAAACTGCAACAGCGGTAAAGGGACACTGACAGGGCCGCAGCGTGGAGGCTGATTTAATCTCAATCTTCCATCGCATTGCTAAGGCGCAGTGATACAACTATACGTACTCTCCGGAACGCGTGAGGTATTACCCCACATTTGAAGGCGTTTTCGAAACGGCCAACTTTCCAAATCAGCAACCTTGCGTCGCATTGATTGGCGTCAACCAAAACTGGCCGGCAAATATTAAGCACGTTTGCAGCCCTTCTTCAGTACATGTACTATAAATTCAGTTCCTAAAAATCCAAAAAGAATGCAGTATTTTTTCGATGCCTTTAAGTTGATTGTTAAATTGAGTTGATATTATTTAGTTATATTTCTTCCTGCGCTTGTTTACTTTTAATCCTTCTAAAAATTGATCGAATTATTTAATATAAGCCTATGTTATGCACACATTCTTATGGGTCTCAGGGCTCATGTCTTAATGCACATAGTTCTGTTTGATAGGAAAACGCCCAAATCTCGTTTCGTCACGTGTAAATTCGCTCGTTGGCGTTGACCATGTTGAATATTGCGCAGCATACTCGCACGCAAGGGTTGAATGGTTGAACGACTCCTCTTGCGAAATGTTTGCCTGTGCCATAGTAAAGCAGAAGTCTCAAAAAACGCATGTTTCTCACGCAAATTGTCAAGTTAGAAGTATATTTCAGATTTTCCTGATGAGGTCATCGTGATTTTTGAGCCATTTTCTGTTTACAAAAAATAACTTTTCTTTTAGCTCTAAGTGAGACTGCAACGGCCAATGGAGATGTTGCATGTGTGAGGAATTTGCGATTTGACTGTTGATTCTTATGTAACATTTCGCGAGAAACACGATGGTGCCTCTGGTTTTCTCTAAAATTAACTCCCAAGCTCAAAAAAAGCTCTCAAGTTGAGGCCAAAGGGAGGGATATCCCACGCTATCCTGAGAGTCCACATCTACATCAAGACAAACTATCCATGCGAAGATAGGGAGCAAATACATTAGCAGGGTTGCCGTGTTTCAGTTTTCGAGTCTCCAAATAAAGTGGCAGCCCTGTCAATGTATTTGCTCCCTAACTTTGCATGGAGAGTTGGACCGCGTTTAACAGAAAGGAACCAAGCCACATCAGCTATTGCCAAATTCAAGTGGGCACTTTAATTTTTTACGAGGAAACGTTTGTGCGGATTTTTTTGAAAATTTTAAGGAATTCACTTCGCACTATGAAGAAACTTCACTGAAATTTGCATGAAAATCTGCACAACCGTTTTCATGTAAAAAATTAAATTGCCTAGTTAAATTTGGTAATAGCTGATGTGGTTTGGTTCCTTTCTGTTTAACGCGGTCCAGTTTGTCTTGACGTAGACGTGCACTCTAAGGATAGCGTGGGATAATCCCTCCATTTTGGCCTCAACTTTTGAGCTTGGGAGTTGATTTCAGAGAAAACCAGAGGCACCATCATCGTGTTTCTGGCGAAGTTTTACATAAGAATCAACTGTCAAATCGCGAATTCCTCACACATGCAACATCTCCATTAGCTTTACTGTATTACAAGATATCTGATTGTAGACAGATTCTTTTAAAACAATGTAACACGATGTCTTAACACTTTGCGTACATTCGTGCTGCGCTATGAAGGATCATTCTTGTAAACTTTTAGTCCAATTAAGGGTGCCATGCCGCGCGCTATGACTGGAGGTTTGCCATAGTCCCGAGCGATTATTCTAATTCCCTGAGGATCAAATTTTATACCCAGATGAATGATGCAGCTTCAAGTGATTGCAACGATCCATGCCTAAGCATTCCCACAACGTCATGCGTTACGCGTCGTAGATGAACCTCTCTAGCAACTATTTTAACTCCGCGGAGATCATATTGCATACCCAAATGAATGCAGGCGTTTTAAAGCGGCAGTTAAACAGTTTTATCAGTATGATGTCGTGAGCGGCTCGCCATGACCTTGAACATTTATACATGTATATGAGGCCGGGTATTCCGTTCGATGACGTCATCAACGGGTGCTACTGTAACGAAATAAGCTGGTGTCACGATGACGTTTTCGGCTGTGAATGACTGAAAATGGTGGTTATAAGCCAAATATATCTACAAATAGCCAGTGGTGCTTATTTAAAAATTTCCGGATCAAGCAGGGAGTATTCGGAAATATTCCAATTCCATCCGGAGGCAACAGGTGGTTGGCGTCACCAAGGGGGGTGGGGGGAGAGGGGGTAAGATGGGTGAAGGGAGGAAGAGAAAATAACGCGGGCCTAAAAGGATTTGACATTGCTGCCGCGACAGCGAAGAGAGCCGTTAGTGCAAAAATGAAGTTTTGAGAAAATGGGCCTAGAAGCCTCTGACCGGAAAATTCTAATGAAAGAAGCCTCCGTTCTTTGTCAAATCGCAACCAATCATTCGATAGACTCTTAGAAATCATTTGGGGGATTAAAGCTCGACCGATTTTATTTTAAAGTACATGGAAAAGGTAAAATTCAGTTTCATGTTAGGTTAGTATTTGGCAAGACAGCCGTAAATGCTATCTTCTGCGTGCTTTTGAGGTAGCGTGTTGAACACACAACAAACACATTTTCAGGTTAGAAATCGGCATATGAGGCCGGCATTCCTCTTGAAAGCTCTGTTTTCATTGGCTCTCATGCACCCTACGGCTGTCTTGAAAAAAAAAAAACTGTGTCATTTTTTGTGCACTTGCGGCTTTTTCATACGTCTCGTTTTCATTAAATTAGGATGCATTTTGCTGTTTTAGCTGTCTCAGTAATTTCATCTAAAAGAGTTTAGACGATTTTCGAGGAAAACTTGATCTCGAAAATTTTGCACTTACGGCTCTCTTCGCTATCACGGCAGATTTCTTGGTAATGAACAGACTTACCTCCCCTCCATGACCATCGAAAACTGCAAAATACGCTATATTCTTGCCTAGAACATTTTCCTCAACGACGAATCTATCCTCCATCGATGTTCTCCGTCCAATAATCGAATATGCGGCCGCAGATTTGCCTTCTTTCTCGAGCACCCTTACCTTGGAGGACGATCCATAACCATATACCCTAGAAAGCTCATCGAACTTACTCTGCAGGACATCAGGTGGTGAGTTCATGGTGACGCCAAACCTAAAATCTGAAAAATATAGTAATTTCCGTGTAAAGAATAAATTTTTGCCAAGCGCAGTTCACTGTTGCAAGGCCGCAAACCTTGCATTTTTCATTTGGACCGTGTTTTGCAGAAAGGAACCAAGCCACATTAGCCATTGCAAAATTAAAAGAAAAATTTCATTTTTTGCAAGAGAACATTTGTGCATTTTTTTTTTTTTTTTTATATGTTTAAGGAGTTTGCTTCGCACTTTGTAGAAAATTGACGGACATTTGCCGGAAAAAAAGAAGAAAAAAATCCGCACAACCGTTTTTATGCAAACATTTAAATTGCCCCACAGAAAAAAAGGAGGTGTTCCGCATTTCGGGCATCTTTGATGACGTAGGTCGGCTCAGCGACTTTTATCATCGATTTTCTTGGAAATGGTGTAATTTATGGAAGGGTCATTCTAAGGTCATTCTATAAAAAGTGCTTGAAATTATATCATATGAGTTGATATAAGCCAAAAAATGGGACATCGTGGTCCGTTTTTCATACTTCGAATTCCGGATTTCGCTGGCTAGGTTGTACCGACGTACGTCACAGGGTAAAGAAACCTCAAGATGCAAACACCTCCTTTTTCCTCTCTATGAAATGGCCCAATTCTTGGCAACGGCTGATGTGGCTTGGTTCCTTTCTGTCTAACGCCGTCCACTTAATATCCTGAAAGTGATTTATCTGCTGTGAAGCAATTTATTGCGTACTTTCGGAGACAATGTCCCGGACGGCCGGACAAGTCCGTTTTTAAAAATTCCGAAAACTCAAAGAAATTTCTAACGCGCCGGAATGGCGGAAAATGATGAGAGTAATGCAGAACGGCCGTCAAATCGCTATCTCCTCTCATTTTCCGCTGATGCCTGTTACAAAAAACGTATCTTAATGTGAAACTGTTACTTGTATACTACCATGAAATAACATGAACGAGATTCGATTCCTTAATTGACTCTGATATATAGTTTCGAATTTCGATCATTGTTTTTATTTAGGGGGAGTCAAGAGACACATGAAGCCATTTATGCAAGAACTACGGATGTCGCGTTTTTAAATTTTGAGAAAATCGCGCTTAAAGTTTTCAAAGCTTTGCGTTTCGATGTCCGTGCAGCAAATAGGGCTTGGCCAAAAAATTTGGCCAAGCCCTATTTGGATAAGCTCTGATTCGTCGAAAGACGCGCCTGAGTATACACGCGATTAGTATTCTGCCGTGGTACACTGAGAAAAAGCTATGGTTTATAAACCTATTAGTGGTAAATATGGAACACCTATAATAGTCGTAAATAAACTAATGATTCTCGGTCTGTGAACCATACTAAGGTCTCTGTACCTAATTAAGGTACAGAGACCATAACTAAGGTATATGTGCTATTATTATATGTAGAGGTACTACNATGTAATCCCATCATCTAGGAGTTACAATAGTTTGTCGAGATCGTAGCGTAGCCTACTTCCGACAGAGAGCCAAGCCACGAAGCGCCCTCACTTTAACTACTTGGTTGCCCATCACCACAATCATTTCAAGCTCCTTCATCTCAGCGGGTATGCAATTTGATCTCCGGGGAGTTAAAATAGTTGCTCTGAGTCCAAGTGAACATCCACGGCCATAGACCATTTCGGGTAGGGAGGAGCGCTTATCCGGCTGAAAATTGATTTTTAATTCTTCGGTTCTTGTCACACGTTTAAAACGGGGACAAACTCAGATTTCATCCATGACACTTCACTTAAACCCTTTAATTGGCCAATGATGTGAGTTCGAGTCATCGGTGACCCCTCAGTTTGTTTGTAACTTGACCGTATGACGACAACTGGACGTATTTCTGCCAAACGGAACTATGTGCATTATGACGTGAGCCCTTTATGAATGTATTCTTATGGGCTCCAGGGCTCATGTCTTAATCCACATAGTTCTGTTTGGCAGAAATGCGTCCAACTATTCCCACATGAATGCTCTATACTGCTGCAGAAGAGTTGGTCCAATCCCATATTCCTTCGACATTGTTGACCAAAACAAGTCGTGGTCACATCAAGATTTTGGACAATATCTCAAGGCCACCCATTTTATGAAAACAGAAAATGACGTGAAATTACAACATTTTCGTCAATATTTAGTAGCCCGCTGTATATTTCGTATATTGACTGCGACCTTCACATAATGACCAAAATATTGATGGTGTGACCACGGCTACGGGACATTAGAGTGACGTCACCTCATGTACAAGTCAGTGGTAAATTTAGATAACAAGCGCCTGATTGGTCGATTCTGATCCCATGCAAGCGTTTGATTGGTTGATTCTGATGGAAAAGCGTAATATTGTCCAATTTAGGTAGCAAGGTAATTATTCAATTCACTTTGCAAGCTTTTGATTGGTCCTATGAGAATTATTACGTCATAGTTTACCCCGGTGCTAACTACACTAGTGTGGTAACACTGGATACGAGGTGATATATACGCGAGCTCTAGCCGGAAAAACGGGTAGTTTCATTTTGGTTCTCGCGCGCGTCACATGCAGGTGTTGGGTATGTCATTATTTCTGTATTCTGTTTTATAAATCTTTCTGTATTTCTTTATTGCATATTNTTTTTTTTTTTTTTTTTTTTTTTTTTTTTTTTTTTTTTTTTTTTTTTTATATGTTTAAGGAGTTCGCTTCGCACTTTGTAGAAAATTGACGGACATTTGCCGGAAAAAAGAAGAAAAAGATCCGCACAACCGTTTTTATGCAAACATTTAAATTGCCCCGCAGAAAAAAAGGAGGTGTTCCGCATTTCGGGCATCTTTGATGACGTAGGTCGGCACAGCGACTTTTATCATCGATTTTCTTGGAAATGGTGTAATTCATGGAAGGGTCATTCTAAGGTCATTCAATAAAAAGTGCTTGAAATTATATCATATAAGTTGATTTAAGCCCAAAAATGGGACATCGTGGTCCGTTTTTCATACTCCGAATTCCGGATTTCGCTGGCTAGGTTGTACCTACGTACGTCACAGGTTAAAGAAACCTCAAGATGCAAACACCTCCTTTTTCCTCTCTATGAAATTGCCCAATTCTTGGCAACGGCTGATGTGGCTTGGTTCCTTTCTGTCTAATGCCGTCCATTTAATATCCTGAAAGTGATTTATCTGCTGTGAAGCAATTTACTGCGTACTTTCGGAGACAATGTCCCGGACGGCCGGACAAGCCCGTTTTTAAAAAGTCCGAAAACTCAAAGGAATTTCTAACGCGCCGGAATGGCGGAAAATGATGAGAGTAATGCAGAACGGCCGTCAAATCGCTATCTCCTCTCATTTTCCGCTGATGCCTGTTACAAAAAACGTATCTTAATGTGAAACTGTTACTTGTATATACTACCATGAAATAACATGAACGAGATTCGATTCCTTAATTGACTCTAATATATAGTTTCGAATTTCGATCATTGTTTTTATTTAGGGGGAGTAGAGAGACACATGAAGCCATTTATGCAAGAACTACGGATGTCGCGTTTTTAAATTTTGAGAAAATCGCGCTTGAAGTTTTCAAAGCTTTGCGTTTCGATGTCCGTGCAGCAAATAGGGCCTGGCCAAAGAATTTGGCCAAGCCCTATTTGGCTAAGCTCTGCGATTCGTCGAAAGACGCGCCTGAGTATACACGCGATTAGTATTCTACCGTGGTAGCGAAGAGAGCCGTAAGTGCAAAATTTTCAAAATCGAGTTTTCTTCAAAATTCATCTGAACTCTTTTAGATGAAATTACTGAGACAGCTAAAACAGCTAAGAGTCTATCGAATGATTGGTTGCGATTTGACACAGAACGGAGGCTTCTTTTAATAAAATGTTCCACTCAGAAGCTTCTAGGCCCATTTTCTCAAAACTTCATTTTTGCACTTACGTAGAGTCTCTTTATACTGAGAGTCAAGGCAATGCGAATCCATTTCTGATTGGTCAACCGGATTTTAGGCCTTCACAGTGTCACAAACGGGAATAAAGATTACATTTTCACCAATCGCAAAGATTATAATCTGGAATAGACCGAGGAATTTCGGGTTCGACAAGGAACAAACGGAATGAAAGAAGGAACGGAGAAAGGAATTTAAGAATGAGCCGATCAAAGATTACGAAAAACATTCAATTTCTGTAATCTTTATTCCCGTTTGTGACTCCATGAGGGGTGTTGTCTTGACTCTCAGTATAAAGGGACTCTACACTTACGGCTCTCTTCGCTATCATGGCAGTATTCTATTAAAACTCACACGCGATGCAGGATCTGATGTTGATTCGTTGGAAGAGGCGTCCGATAATGCACGCTAACTTAGGAGGGCTCTGGACTACAACAGTGCAACGGTGTTCCACACCCTCTCGTGTTTCGTAGCGTGTGCATTCCGCCTTCCTCAAGCCCGAACATTGATACCTCGAAACCTCGGATGAGCGACGTGAAAGACGGGAGTGCTCATTCGAGCAGTGCTTGCTAGCATCCTCCAACTCTTTTGGTGTTGGTCTACTCGGCAGGGAATTGCAAGGGTCGTCCTCCAACAGAACACCCTGTAACAACCCCAGGATACAAGCAGATTAGTTTGGAATACATTTTGTATTGGGTCTTGGAATTTCTTTTGGCTGGTCTCAAAATCTCTTTCGGCCGCACTGGAAAAAAACACATTGGATCTACTAGAGTCCAGACTCTTAAAAACATCGACAAGAAAAAATACTCTTGATTCAATCAGATTTAAGCTTAAATCAAGAACCAAGCCTCTTAATTTGAGCGGATTTCCTTTTGATTTACGCTTAAATTTGCTTGAATCAAGAGTCCTTTTTTTTTGTCAATGTTTTCAAGAGTCTGGCCTCTAGATCCGATTTTTTTTCCCAGTATGGTCTCAGAATCTCTTTTGGCTGGTCTCAGAATCTCTTTTGGCTGGTCTCAGAATCTTTTTTGAGTGGGCTCAGAATCTATTTCGGCTGATCTCAAAATCTATTTCGGCTGGTCTCAAAATCTCTTGCGGCTGGTCTTACACTGGGAAAAGAAACACATTGGATCTAGAGTCCAGACTCTTGAGAACATTGACCAAAAAAAAGGACTCTTGATTCAATCAGATTTAAGCTTAAATTAAAAGGAAATCCGCTCAAATTAAGAGCATGGTTCTTGATTTAAGCTTAAATCTGATTGAATCAAGAGTATTTTTTCTTGTCGATGTTTTTAAGAGTCTGGACTCTAGATCCAATGAGTTTTGTTTCCAGTGTAGAATCTCTTTTGGCTAGTCTCAGAATCTCTTTTGGCTGGTATCCGAATCGTGTCTTGGATCCATGATTTTTTCAATGGTGTAATTGAGCTGGTTCCCTCCTTTTAAGTGCAGTCAATTTGTGAGTGTTGTTGAACAGCGTGATGAAAATTGGACCATTTATTTAAAAAAACCCCATACAAATCCAGCTCATTTTCAGGTTTGGAAATGAAGAAAAGACGAGCTAAGCCGAGTTAAATAGAGACGCACCGAGCTTCATCTTGGGGGAAAAAATGAATCGAGAGTAGTCGTAAATGAACCATTTTTAGCAGAAATTCGAATTAAGCCACATCAGCTTTTGTCAAATTTAATTGCGCACTTTAATTTTTTACAGGAGAACGTGTGTGCGAATTTCATTGAACATTTCGTCGCCCCTCTAACGTATCTCTAATTCCGCATGAGCCCCAGACAGCATGGGGTCGTATAGAAAGCAGGGCTCACCTGGAAATCGAAATACGCCATTACGTCAGAGGAGCGACGATTTGAGCAATTTGCTTCAACCTATGCAGAAAATTCACTGAATTTCGTACAAAAATCCGCACAACCGTTCTGATGTAGAAAATTAAATGGAGATGTTGCATGTGTGAGAAATTTGCGATTTGACTGTTGATTCTTAATTCTGTAACAGTTCGCGAGAAACACGATGGTGCCTCTGGTTTTCTCTACAATTAACTCCCAAGCTCAAAAAAAGCTCTCAAGTTGAGGCCAAAGGGAGGGGATAGCCCAAGCTACCCTGAGAGTCCACGTCTACATCAAGACAAACTCTCCATGCAAAGATAGGGAGCAAATACATTAGCAGTGATGCCGTGTTTTCAGTTTTAGAGTCCCCAAATAAAGTGGCAGCCCTGTCAATGTATTTGCTCCCTATCTTTGCATGGAGAGTTTGTCTTGATGTAGAGGTGGACTCTCAGGATAGCGTGGGATATCCCCTCCATTTAGGCCTCTTGAGAGCCTCTTGAAAGCTTTTTTGAGCTTGATAGTTGATTTCGGAGAAAACCAGTAGTGGCATTGTCGTGTTTCTCACGGACTTTTACATAAGATTCAATGGTCAAATCGCAAATCCCTCACACATGAAACATCTCCATTTGCTTCAACCTATGCAGAAAATTCACTGAATTTCCTACAAAAATCCGCACAACCGTTCTGGTGTAGAAAATCAAATTGTACATTTAAATTCGACGCTAGCCGATGTGACATAGTTCATTTCTGGTCAACGCGGTCCCAATGCTTTTCAGACAAATATTCAAAGTTGAAAACAAATATTTTGGTATTTGGAGCGTAGCCGAGTGCTAGAAATAATGTAAAATTTTTCTGTAAATAACTTACATTTTATCAACAAACTTAGACCGCGAAGCTTTTCGAAGCAAACGCTTCATCCTCAGGGTCACAACATCGATATCACAAAGGCCATAATTTAATTGCCTTCGAAGTCAAAGAGTGTTTTGATCCAATAGCTTGTCATCAATATCGTTACCATCAATGAAATCTGTGACCTTGTTTGAAATTAAATTATGGCCTTTGTGATATCGATTTTGTGACCCTGACGATGAAGCGTTTGCTTCGAAAAGCTTCGGTCTTAGTTTGTTAATGAAATGTAAGTTTTTTAAAGAAAAATTTTACATTGTTTCTAGCACTCGGCTACACTCCAAATACCAATATATTCAGTGCTACTACCTTTTAGACATTGTAATAAAATGTTCGCTAATTTTGACAAATATTTTGAACAGGGAAAATTGTTTCATTTTTCGTCCTCAATATCGAACCTCACGAAGAAATCAATTTTCAAACCTTGTATTTAGTTCAAACAGGATGTGACTTTGTGCATTCCTGTTGAATACGATTCAGTCCCCCCCTCTTCTCCTCAGCCTATTCTACAACCGTACGTTTCCTCATCATGGGCTATCTCTCACACGTATCTCGTGCATCAGTTGTTTTCCAAAGGGAATAAGTCCATTTTTGCATGAGCCTTGGCCTGTATAGAAGGACATGCTAACCTGTGGCGTGGCGTGAGTGATCGATTTTCGATATATCCCCATTTGAATACGTGGTAAAGAATCGATTATTAAGGTGTTCGGTGCGAACACCCTGTCTATCGATCCTTTTCCATAGGTTTAAATGGCATAATAATCGATAAATCGTAATTCACGCCACGCCAATGATGCTAATCAAGACTCATCGACTAATGGACCTGTTCTCTCTCGAGTTCAACTGATTCATGTGCTCTTCATATCGTTCGCTGACAGGTACTTTGTCCATGTATCGAACTGAGTAAAAGTAGCAGTACAAAACATCAGTTTTTTTTATTTTTTTGAAATCTTTTTTTTAAAGACCTTCTTTCACCGAGCAGATATCCGACAGTTTTTCCTCGAAATTTTCCGCCCATTTTAATGGAACAACAGATCGGATATGAAGCAAAGTATCGTCATGTCGATAGCTGGAGTATGAAAATGCGTATGCCGATTGCAACGCTTCAAAATCTCCGGTTAAGTTTTATTTGGTTTTTGAACAGAGACGAACGGAAAAAATGTCCTCCAAACTCCTCATAAATATATCCAGAATTGGAGAGTATTCGAAGAAATTTGGAAGAAAAATTATCGGTTCATAATAGTTTTACAAAAACCATGGGCGGACATTTGCAACGTCAGATCCAGATTTCCTTTACTACACCCTCCAATATAAGATCCAGATTTCCTTTACTACACCCTCCAATATAAGATCCAGATTTCCTTTACTACACCCTCCAATATAAGATCCAGATTTCCTTTACTACACCCTCCAATATTTAAGATTTTTTTTACTCTAAGTTATAATTTTGTATCATAACTAGAATTCTACTGGTCTGCTGCAGTAAATTCTATATATTTGCTGATATCGGCCCGGAATTTTGTATGAATTGGACGTATTTTGCCAAAAGGAACTGTGTGCGTTATTACGTGAGCCCTGTTATGCATATGTTCTTATGAGTCTCAGGACTCATGTCTGAATGCACATAGTTCCGTTTGGCAGAAATTCGACCGATCAGGGAGTGAATTATTCCGCTTTCTTTTGATGGTTACATGATGAAATTTCAAATTTTTCTTATTTAATCCTTGGATGCCTAAGTCGGGTCTAATTCATTCGAGATTTGTTGAAAACACAGCGGCGGGTTGTATGAGACCGGTACATGCGAGCTTTAGAATAGGTCTACACATTCATCGTTAAAAAAAGAATCAAACATCAAATTGTAAAAAAAAAATAAAATATTGAGTGACTGGCATTTTTTTTACGAGTACCCATAGCAATCCTAAGCTGGGTTAAATCGATCCGGCTGTCTCATCTGGGTGAGTTATGGTGCATACGAGCTTTAGATATAGGTATACAAATTCATTGGAAAAAAAAACAAGCAGTGAACTCCAACACAATGTGTTGATAAGGCGCGTCATTAACTCGCACAAATCAACCCCTTTAGTTTTCATTTACAGAGATTTCAAAATAGGCAACTAGCATAAAAAGAGAATTCACGATCCAACACTGCGAGGTCAAAGACGCACCTTGACGAGACCGTGTATTGTGAAAGTAGAAAGCTATTCGATCGAATTTAAGTTTTTTGATCTGCCTCAAGCAAAATCTTATCAGATTCTTGAAGAAAAGTGCTACGGAATAATTTAAGCGAAGAAAGGAAAAATTCTGTCGAACTCCTAGAAGATAAAGTCGATTTAAAGGTATTTTGGGGCTAAAATACCCAAATCACCGGTAGTAAAAATCCCGTTATATTATTGAAAAGAAATTGACTCGATATAAATGCAATTGCATTAAATACGTCTTGATTTTGTTATTTTAAACGTCTTTCCATGCAAAGAAGTTCAACCATGTCGTTGCTTTATTCATTCATGAATTGAAAGTAAGCAATCTACATCCCGAAAATCTACTGATTTGCCGTAAAAAATTGCAGAAACTTGATATACCAGGTCGATGCACCCACTCGTTGAATTTACCAACCAATTTTGTGAGTGCAAATGTGTAAGAATCAATATGCTATAGTCATTTTGGGTGCATTTATTTTTCATGAAACAATAATAATTTCAATCCCGAAAAACCATCAATTTTCCGTATAAAATCGAAAAAATCAAAATATGTCAACTCCCCGACGTGAAAATTAGATTCTACGTATGTAAAATGTAAATACTTATGTATCGATATGCTGAACAGAACTATGTGTGGACAGTCAGAAGCCCGCGGCAACATTAATTCAACAGAAAAACTGTAAAAATTAGATAGGATTTTAGCCGCTTTGCCCGCCTCTCCTCGCTACTTACAACAAACCGTTCTTATACTCATCTCAAAATTTTTCTCAGAGCTTTGGGTTATTATCAGCTTCCATTTAAACTCCGGTTCGATGGCCGAATCGG